TTTCTTTTATAATTTTGATTAATTATGGTGAATGTAGTTATGTAAATCGCAGACCTATAATTGTAATACCCTATAAGGGTGGTTAAGTTGTAAGATCAACATATTTTAAATTAACGCCAAATGTAACTTAACTTACAATAAATAATTTGAATTTGAAAAATGAATTTATTTAAGGATATTTTGATTGTGATAAATAAACTATAGCGTGTTTTTTAAGAGCTTGAGTACTTTAAATAATAATACAACACAAAAATATTGTTAGAATGATTTTTTAATACTATAATCTGGTAGATAATTTCATGGCATTTATTTTTTAAATATGATTTCCAGCATATGTCCACCGCAGCTACGAGTTATATAGTCCATTCTATCAGTCCAATTTTTCACTACTTCTTCCAATAAATCAGGCCGTATGGCGTCAATTTTGGCTTGAATATTGGCTTCCAATCCTCAAGAGTTGCTGGTTTGTCGGCATAAACCAATGACTTAACATATCCCCATAAAAAGTAATCGAGAGGTGTTAAGTCGCACGAACGAGGGCGCCAGTTAACAAGACCACTTCTGAAAATAAAGTTGACACCAAATTGATTTTGCAATTAATTGATGGTTAAGCACGGTGTATGGCAAGTTGCGCCGTCTTGTTGGAACCAAATGTCGTCGAAATTTAGCCGATTAATTTTTGGAAACAAAAAGTCAGTCAGCATGGCTCGATAGCGCTTGCCATTCACCGTAACGGCAACTCGTTCCTTATTTCGAAAGAAATAAGGACCGATGATGCCGCCAGCGTGTAAATCGCACCAAACAGTCAATTTTAATGGATATTTAGGCACCTATTTATTTATTTACATGTCATTTATTTAATAATACTATTAATGAGAAACTGATCGGCTTATGGTCAGTATAGATAGTGAAGTGCCTTGCTTCCACCATATGACGAAAATATTTCTTCGTATATAGCTAAAAGCTCTCGATCATATGGGGAATATCTCTGTTGACTTGGGCTCAACTTCCTCGAAAAGAAGGCAAGTGGTTGCCAGACTCCGTCTTTGAGCTGCTGAAGTACGGCACCTATGGCGACGTCAGATGCATCAGTCACGAGTGCCAATTTAGCTTCGCAGTCTGGGTGAGCAAGCAAGGTAGCATTCGCGAGACTACGCTTGCACTCCTCAAAAGCTTTTGCTGCTTCACCGTTTAAACTAATAGGTTGCCTACCTTTAACAGCCCCTGTCAGAAGGTTGCTAAGGGGGGCTTGTTTTTGAGCAGCATTCGGCAAAAAAACGCTGATAAAAATTTATGATGCCCAAAAACCTTCTTAGCTGTCGCACCTCCTTAGGTTGAGGGAAATCTAAAATAGTTTGGACCTTATCAGCCAAAGGTTTGATTCCGTTTTTGGAGATACGGGACCATAAAAATGTTACCTCCTTTTCGCCGAAAGTACACTTGGAAGTGTTGATGAGTATACCGTAGCTTTTAAGTCTGCTAAATACTTGGCGAAGGTGTTCCTCATGCTCCGCTTCGTTTCGTGAGAAGATCAGGAAGTCGTCAAGGTAAGAGTAGCAGAATTCTAATCCTCTGATCATCTCGTCCACGAAGCGTTGAAAAGTTTGTCCTGCGTTACGGAGGCCGTAGCCCATAAAGGGAAACTCATACAACCCGAACGGCGTTGTTATTGCAGTCTTAGGGATGTCGCTCTCACTGACAGGTATTTGGTTATATGCTTTTACAAGGTCAATGGTACTAAACACTTTGCATCCGGTTACGCTATGGGTAAAATCGTGGATGTGCCTGATTGGATACCTGTCAGGAATGGTCCGGGCATCCTATAGTTTCCACATGGACGCCACCCGTTATCCTTCTTAGGGGTGAGGTGAAGAGGTGATGGCCACGGGCTTGCGGAGGGGCGGGCTATACCATTGGCGATCATGGAGTCGAATTCTTGTTTGGCGATTTTAAGTTTGTCTGGTGCTAACCACCTGGGTGAAGAAGTCACCGGTGGACCTGGTTCGTGCGAATGTGGTGAACAGTGTTGTGAGGTATTGTGTGTTGTGTACCAGCTGGCCGTGTAATCTCAGGGAACTCACCCAAAATTTTATGGTACCGCGTGCAGCCAGTCGAAACCTTTACAGATGTTACATTATCTGAACAAGAAATTAAACATACATTAGTTCTTAAAGTAGTAACATTATCTATTAAGCATTGATTTCTACAGTCTACAATAAGGTTATAAAACGATAGGAAATCGACACCAATTATTGCTTTGGTGACATCAGCCACCATAAAACGCCACTTAAAGTTCCGACGCAATCCAAGGTCGAGACTTAGATGTGCGAAGCCATAAGTTTTTATGGGACTCCCATTTGCTGCGCAGAGTTCATAATTTGTGGGTGTCCGACGATCTCGAAGTAATGAACGAAGATACACTGTGCGTTTGCGTAAAATCGCTAAAAATCTTCAGCCTGTACCAACATCACGCCATAGTACTGGCAAAACATTTGTTTTTAAGGATCTTGCCACTTGCGATTATGTTTTTCTTCGCGAAGATGCTTCACGAGGTTCTTTACAACCAGCATGCACCGGTCCACATAAAGTACTGTCACGTGACAACAAAGTGTTTAAACTACTGTTTAAGGGTAAAGAAGTCAGTGTATCCATAGACCGATTGAAACCGGCCTACATACTCTCTGACAATCACTCTTCACAACACTCAACTGCCACTCCCTCACCAGTGTATACTGACATACCACGTACTACACGTTCAGGGCGCCGAGTAAATTTTCCGGATTTTTATCGCCCATAGAATGGTCTTGGGGGGGGGGTGATGTAGGTACCTATTTATTTATTTATTTACATGTCATTTATTTAATAATACTATTAACAGATCATTTATTTCATATATATTATTTATTAATATACGTGCCATATATATTAACACACGTACACACTACTTTACACATTAATAATAATATACGGAACACCACGCACATAACCAGTTCGCTGTGGCAATCGTATCGTCGAGCAAAAAATCTGAATCTTTTGTTCATAGCGATGACGTAGTGGTGGCGCGATGAACTCCGGTGCAGTGACCACGATCAACGACGCGCCCGGCAGTCGGAACCTACTCTCGACGCGAAGCGCATGTCGCTCAATGCTTTACGCCTTATATCATAACTGTTGCTACTTACGCGCTGATTATTTTATGTTTATTGTTTTTCATAACAGCTCGGACTTTCATATTTGTATTCATCTTCATTCTTCAACGCTTCCTTCCTTCTGTACTGTGAGCTTTAAACTGTGTTAGTGTCATGTGTGTTAACGAATATATCCCTTATAAACTTTGGTGAGCAACTTTATTTCTACACACCTTTCTGACCTACAGATGTAATGGTGATTCGTTAATAGCATGAGGACTGTTCAAGCATTCTGAATTATTCAAAATTTTAAATATTTTAGTGGATGCAAGATTTAGTTGATATTGATTTCGCGGGTTCGCAAGTACCCAATAATCATTTAATTGATGGTTAATTTTTTTTAAATGGATGGTTAATTTGTTCAAACATAACCAAATTTGGTTATGTTTGAACGCCACCCAATTGCGTTCGAGCTGTCGCGTCACCCGATAGTATGTAGGTGAGATAAGCGCCGAGGTGGGGCGGCCGTGTGCGGCTTGCAGTGGCTCGACGCGTGGGCGATGATGGTGGAGTTCCCCTCTGGCCGCCAAGCGGGGAACCCGCGTAGCTGGTTTATTGCGGCCGAAGTTCACGCGACCGTTGTCGGGTTCAGATAGTTAGATTAAGTGCGTGTTACTTCCTTACGTGGATATGTGAGTTTTGCAATATTTAACTTGTTCGGGGATGCGGAATTGTGCACGCGCGCGTCGAGTAGATATACGGTCTAGGATTCGAACCGCGCATTCCTTGTTCGAGAGCTTCTCCCAGTTGATCGTCAGGAAATCATTATAATTGTGCCGTCGCGTTAAGTGCCCTTTTTTGTGTGTTGTTGGCTTGTTAGTTTACGTGTCAACGAGGCGTATTTTGAATCTTTTCGCGACGTGGTGTTTTGGTGTCGAATGAAGGAACTTAGTTGTTTTTAACGCTGAATAGTATGACTCATTAAGAGATCGCTTTAATTCCCTCTTTATAATTTTGTGATAAGTGAATCCGAGACATTGAATGTCGAATTGGAACTACTATCCTTACTGTGTCGGGTATCACGTGTTCGATTCTACGATGAATGTGGAATTAGGCGAGTTTAAGTTAGTTAAATGTACAATGAAGCTAATAGACTGAAATAGTGACAAGGAAGAAAGAAATGGACCAGCTGTGGAGCCTGCTGGAGCGATGCAGCATTTTGGGGCAGCCTGGAACTCGGCCGCTGCTGATCGCCGAAGGTGGTCAAGATCTCACACATTTACACATCACTGAACACTACTTGCCATTCCCTTACACCTACTCACGGCTTGACCGAGCCTTAGTGCGAAGTTAGCTTCTGATACTGGTACGTAATATGTGTTTCTAGCATTCTCCCATATAGCTTAGTGTTATAGGAAATTCTCCCATGTGGCCATTTTGGGCCCGACCTGCGGGTGCTCGTGGAATCTTCTGCTCATGGGCCCCGGAAGATTCGATCCTTGCTGAAGCAGCTGCGGGCCGTAACAATCGATGTTTGACATGTGGCAACATCGATGTTAAAACACCGAAGTTTTCTGGGCTAAAGGTCTAGATACCAGGCCATAAACTCCAAAAAAAACGTCGAAGTTTTGATTTTTGAGCATTTTTTGAATTTTAAGTTTGACAATCACAGAGTACTTTTATATATACTGAAATTGACAATTGACATCGATGATCACCGAACATCAACAATACAACAAAATCAAAATTTAATACTAAAACGTAGTGATTATAACTTTTTGTAAAATACCTCTTATATAAAGTATTTAAATACCTACACAAAGCCACAGAGTACTTTGTATATATCTGAAACTTAAAACTTTATAATAAAACATGAATTTTGACACTATTATCATGTCTGCGCTAAAATTTGTCACTGGTGAAACTGAACATGTTTGTAGGTTATGTTTGGCAGTAACAGAAAAGCGCGAGATATCACTTGAAGACAGCGTCAGAGTTCAGCGATCATATTTTGATGAAACCGTTACTTTCGTTACAATGTTCCGTGATCTTGGTGTAAGTTTTCATTCATTTCATTGTATCTGACACAGCAATGTGTCAGCCAAGTTCCGAAAAGAAAATGATGAAGGATCGTCTGTGCCTATATTTACACAAACCATCTCGAGCTACTTTGGAACCCATCATAACTAGAAAACGATTAGGCTTTACACTGTAAGTTTTTATGTGTATAAGGCCCCCTTGAATATATAGAATCCCAAAATTTCATCCATATTCTTTAGGAAATTTTAATATTGTATTTCTTGAGTTGTTAAGGTCTAAAAAGTGCCATTTCTGACACTCACTAATCCTCTGATTCACTTACTTATTAAAAACCACCTAGATTCTTCAATTTTGGCATCACGGCAATTGAAGACATACTAAAGAAAATGTGAAACTACAAAATATTGATATTTAGTCTGAAAAATGTTGCCTAACCCCTCAGGCAACTTGGTCAATGTTCAATTCTTATAGTTGAACAAAAAGTACTAAAAGTATATTTTAAGTATTGCTTACCTTTTAACTAAAAATCTCAGTTAAAAAAGAAAACAGTGAAGTATATATGAACATAAGAAAGAGTGTTGAAAGTGGTGTTAAATTTAACTTATTTTTTAATTTCTTAGTTGAGAGATTATGTCCTTTAGATGTAAAAAATAATAAATAAAGTAGCTCAGGAGATGCACAATACATATACACTCCATTCCATAGAATAGCATACTATCTATGCTCAAGTTGGGCTCAAATTATGTACATACAACTTTCATCAGTATTTGCAAACAAATAATATAGGAAATATTATACTTAAAAATACAATATATATACGTCCCACTGCTGGATACAGGGCTCCTTTCATTTCTGAGGGTGTTTTTAGGGCAAGAAAGTATCCACCGCGCTGCCCCAACAAGTTTTGGCAAACTTCACAGGTCTTCAAAATATTTTTCTTTTATTTCTTACACATATCAGTCTGCTCACAATGATTTCCTTCGCCACCGAGCATGTGGTAAACCAGCGCTTAAAATTGCAACTAACAATTTCATTGGTGCTGGCGGGTATCAAACCAGGGTTGCTCTCATACTGTGCTACTTCGAGTGCTAACAATCTAAGCTACTATAGCTCAGATGGTTAACGCTCGATAGAAAATTTAAATATATATAAGTTAAATATTTAATACCTGCTCCTTTTGTTATAGATATCAATGGAACCACTGTTACCTCAAGTACTGTGTACATCTTGTGCAAGAAACACTATAAATTGCTATCTATTTCAAAAACTTTGTATTTTATCATACAATAGATGGAATGCAGTACTAGACAAAATAAAAGAAAGTCTTGCACATTCAAGTGGTATTGGACACAATATTCATAGTATATATCTTATGATAAACAAGACAGATAATATTATGTTCACTAGTAAAAAGAGTTACTCTGGTAAAAGTAAAAGAATCGCTTTAATCAAAATAAAAGAAATTATGAAAGGTAGACAAAAGTATACAAAACTGAAAGAAACAAACTCAATTTGTGAAGAGTGTGGTGAACAATTTAACTCAAGTATACTTCTAATAAGGCATATGAAACTTCACACAAAATTTAATAACCCATGTAAGAAATGTCCAAAAACATTTTCAACTCCTCTTCAATTGGAAGAACATGCAGAGCGTGTTCATTATCCAAAACAGTTACAGTGTACAAAATGTGCAAAACGGTTTAGTACAGAGAGAATGTTGAAAATTCATCACAGAATGTACCACGTTGCTGCGGAATGTAAGCAGTGTTGTATACAATTTCCATCAAAAAAAGCTTTACACAATCATATGAACAAGCATGCAATTCACAGATGTTCACGCTGTAACAAGAGCTTCATGAACAAACACACTTTTAGATTTCATCTTAAGGTATGTGGCAATGCAAAAGAGAAAAAACTAAGTTTCTTTTGTGATATATGCAGTAAGGGTTATGTGCGTAAAAATGGATTACGAACTCATTTAAAAACAGACCATGGATTTGGTGAAGTAATATCTTGTAAATGGTGTAATAAGAAATTTGACGCTATGAGTAGATTAAAGAATCATATTGTTAAACACACACGAGAAAGAAATTTTCACTGTGATCAATGTGGTGGCAAATTTGTCACACAAGCAGCTTTAGTGTATCATATAAGGCTTCACACTGGTGAGCGACCATTTCCATGTGATATGTGTGATGATAGTTTTCTATCAGCATCTAGAAGGATGGAACACAAAAGACGGAAGCATTTTGAACCAACACAGGAGTGTCATATATGTCATGTCAGATTTGTGACTGGTCATCAGTTAAGGAAACACATTCAAAGGCATTCTAATCCACACAGCAAGCTGTTTGTGCCTAACCATTTTGATGGAATGAATAATATTTCCATACTTCCAAACTTCCAAATAAACAGTAAAATTTGAAAATGATTTTATAGTTTTATTTTAAGCCCAAATGATCTATTGCAACTATAACAACTGTGTGAACTGTCAGAAGTAGGAACTACAGGATATATATAAACTTTAAGTATTCTTCATATAAGGCTTCACACTGGTGAGCGACCATTTCCATGTGACATGTGTGATGATAGTTTTCTATTAGCATCTAGAAGGATGGAACACAAAAGACGGAGGCATTTTGAACCAACACAGGAGTGTCATATATGTCATGTCAGATTTGTGACGTCAGATTTGTGACTGGTCATCAGTTAAGGAAACACATTCAAAGGAGATTATCCACCCCAGATGGGGTGGATAATCGGAATTTGTATATTATTTATCTTCAGTTGTTTATAAAAACATGATAGAAACTGGCCCAAGATTACTTACTAGACATTACCTAACATACAGACTTAGACATTAACAAAAATACATACATACCTCTTGTTTAAAGGTCAAAATTGAAATATTTTTAATTGTTCAATCAAGTATCCAGGGTGGATAAACGGAATAACCCTAACAATTAACATGATATTTGAAATTAGAGTCTAAAGTATTTAACAATGTTTATTATCCTTATTATACATTATCAACCTGTATAAAATAAGTTTTAAAATTTTTCAGAAAGCTATACATTTTATAGTAGCATGAGTAAACTCCATTGACAAGATATTAGATGGACCTAAACATAGTTTGTATTGTCTAATATCCACTGAAAGTAGAACTTTCAATTTATTCTTTCATAATTGCAAATATAGTGAACTAATCCTATTACACCTATTTGTTAATGTTTTTAGTTTTCATAATCAATTTGAAATGTTCTCATGTTTTGTTCACCAGGCATATTCGGAGGTATCATATTTCTACCGTAATACAATTTACTTGATGGGTCATGATGTCTGCTAATATGCTGTTTTAAGAAATATGATGTGACAAATTTTCTTGGACAAATGTCACACTTTAGTGTAGGTCCTACATGCTTAAACTTGATGTGTTCCGCTCGGGCTGATGCATTAACAAATCTTTCATTACACAACTTGCAACTGTATGGTTTCTCCCCTGTGTGCCTTCTAGTATGGTATAGCAAAGCCTCTTTTGTAACAAACCTACTTCCACATAAATCACATATAAAATTCTTTTCCCCAGTGTGCTTGATCATGTGATTTTTTAAATAACTTGGAGCTGTAAAATGTTTGCCACACTCTTTGCAAACATGAGGTTTAGCATTGCCATGAACAAATCTATTGTGAACTCTCAGTCCACCTGGAGTACTATATGCTTTTGCACATTTTTCACAAGTATAGTTCTTTTTTATACTACTTCTTGTTGGATGAGGGTCTATAAGGTCTTGCAGGCATAGTTTTACATGTTTTAAATAAAAATCTTTAGTAGTGTATGTTTTTCCACATTTTGGACAGACATGTTTTGTATTATGTTTCTCTTCATGAATCTTTAATTTATCTAAACCTTGACAAGATTTACCACATTCTGTACACACAATTATATTGTGGGTTCTTCTCTGATGTTCTCTCAAGGCTTCTTCAGTGTTTCTAAACTGGGGACACTCAGCACACTTATATTTGTGCATGTCACTCTCATGAATAGTTAATTCTAATTCACTTGGAAATATCTCATAGCACTTTTCACATGTAAAACTGTCATGGGTCATCATATTGTGAGCTTTAAGATCAAAATAGTCATTGAAAATTTTACAACACTCAATACATTCAATCTGCTTTTGTTTCCCATTGTGGTTGTTTTTTCGTTTTCTCTGCTCCTTTTTCATGCAAACTATCTTTGAGTTAGATTCATCGATAATTATATATAAAGCGCGATCTTTTTTACTTGTGTCCAAGTCCACATTCAATGCATCAGAGAGGTTATTAAATACATTATGTATCAAATTTGTAGTCTTATGGCATTTATCAATGAATCGTACAGCCTCGAGAGCTTTATCCACGCAAGTGATACATACTGCATCGATGCCAGTAACTTCATCCCACAACTGAAATCGTGGAATAAGATGTTAATTAGAACTAAACATTATTTAAACACAGAAAAACTACCTACTCACGTTATTTCCAAGCAATTTTGTGAGGATTTCATATAGTGGTTGAAATATACCATTTTCTGGATCCAAAGATACGGCATCGTTAAAACGTACATATTGCTCTTGAATAATACTCAGACATAACCTGCAATGACTATAACGATTTCCTTCAACAATATTTGCAACTAGAATACTTAAATCTACATCTTCTATAATTTTAGTACTTCCAAACATACTGTTTTAGACAGGAAAGGTGTTTGAAAGTGTTTATAAATTAAAACTCAAAATATCCGCGGGCTTTGGTAATTTTTCGTTCAAGAATGCCGTAGGTTTTTACAATTGTAAATGACAGAACAATATGGCGTTGTCCGGTCTAGAAGATACGTGAATTTATGCTAAATAAAAGTTATCAACTTATCACATTTTCATTATTAGTGTATATTATATTTTCCAATATTTAAAAAATATTATGTTTAGTCAGTAAAATTACTTAAGAAGGGTTGATGAGTACTGACTAGTGATATACAGATCAAGAGTAGTGACCCCAAAAGTATATCGATACTTTTTAGAAAACATCAAACATTCCCGATGAGAACAGCCATCAGAGGCGTAGAGCAAAAGTACGGTGAACTTGTTTCTCAAGAAAGGCAAAAATGTTCTATTGAAGAACTACAGTAATTTATCCAGTACCCTCGCAGTGTTATCAAGACCAATCATACCTTGAGACCACTTTAGAGGCACCGTCCTCTTCGGGGACTACATTATTAAAAATCCTGGGTCCCCTAGCGCCGGTAACTCCAGAGACCTGGTTTCTGGTGGACGCTATTATCAAGGGAGGGCTGTAGCTATCGTTTTGGTGATTTCGTCTTCGAGCGGGTTTGTTCTTTCTCGATCCGTCTCAGCAGCCTCCTTCTGGACCAATGCGGATTCAAAGAAAGCGGCTACGGCTTTCCAAGCCGCATATCTGTTAAGCATCGCTGAAACGACTTCTATCAGAGAAAGTTACCGATCAATCTGGGTCACCGGGATCGTCCGTTAAAACAATTTTCGTATAATAGCTTTCATAGCACAACACGGGCCACTAGCGTATCGGAGGGGAGTAGCCATATGCAGGAGTTCCCCTCTGTCAAAGTATAACACTACGTGGTCCCAAGCGTACAATAAACTATTTGTTGCCCCACTGCTCACTAGACTAAATCTAGTTGTGCGGCTGAATCAACGTCCCACAAAAATTCAATTTAGTTGGTGACAAAAAATCTGCCATGTCAAATGTACAAGAAAACCTTTCATATATAAGTAAATTTTAATCACATTATTGCTATTTACTTCTTTTTAAACCTAAAAATACAATAATAACGGTCCTGTTGTTTCGGAATTGTTTACCAACACAGACCACTTGCCCTCATACTGTATGCAGACTGGGCGACTAATCCGAGTCTGCATCCGAATTGTCACTGTCACCGAACGATACTGTTATAATGTATCTTTGTAAAAATTTGTGTGAAATTGTTAGTTTATTGTTTTAAATGTTATGTGTGAGTTTCGTAGTGACAGATAATTGTATTTGTGTGCGTAGATTTCCCCCTGCAAAAAATGACAGAAGTTTTTTATCGGGCTAAAACGCTATGGCTACCCTCCTTCAGTCTGCCAGAGGCGCTATGTATAGCTTCAGAAGTCGGTTCAGACATAGAATATAGATATATTAAAGCCCCTACTTCTTCTTATATTATTTCTTATATTATTAGTCTGATAGGCATTTTTACTCAATCCACACGTTATAATATAAACTCCTATTGTTTTAATATTTCGCAAAAATCATTTATTACGAAAACCTAACTTTTATTTTATAAAAAATGATATCGATAAAATTATTTCAAGTTAGATAATTACAGCACTATAATTCTATAGACTTAAAATATACTGGCGTATAGACCAAATTAGTGTGCAAGGGAGAAGAAAATTCTTTATGGCAAAAATGTAAGATAGAATAGGATACCCATAGAATTATTACGCATAGAAACGCAATCTAGTACAAAACACGAGCATTAAAATGATGCAAAGTCATTATGTTAGTGGGCGCGAGTCGAATGTGCCTACGCTCGTCACACGTACACATACACGCCATTCAGTGATACCACTTTCTGGCGTTTGCAATCAAATTGTGCAAATCACTATTTTTTGATTAATTTTAAAAAATCGATATAATAAAGATTACGTATTACGTACGAAGATGTATTTTATGAGAATATAAAATGGAATAAAATAAACACGATAATGATGGTACTAATATAACTTTATTATACACATTTGAATGGTACAAAAATGCAGACGTAATAAAATTTAAGAATACTATTAAACACAATTAATTTGCTCGAATATAATAAGCACATCGTGTAATGTTTAATTTTAACCGACTTCAAAAAGGGAGGAGGTTATCAATTCGGTGTATTTTTTAATGTTTTTTACCTCAGAATTCTACAATTTCTAAACCGATTTAGATTTTTGATTTGAAAGGATATACACACAGATTGATCCAATATACACGCTGAAATTTTAATGGTTGTTTTCCCGAAGTAAAATGATTTTGCCTTAGTAGTACAATAGATTTATTAAAATTAAAATTATTAGGATGCAAGAATGGCAGATTTACAATCGAGAAAAACAAAACTCGAATGCGATCACAAACCAATAGCAATATCTCGCAAGTGGGTCGAGCGTGCAGGCTAGCTTATACCGAATTACTATAATAAAGTCTGAAAAAAAATTCACTGGACTTAATGTTGTGTTACGTTTATCGCACGCGCTACCACTTCCTACACAGTGAAGGGCCACTAATAAATGTTCATAACATGGACTCTCAAGCGTAGTGATACGACATAAACTAGTCTGGACGCCCGACTAGCTTGTGAGGTATTACTATTGTAAATCTGCCTTTTTTTAATTGTAATGTTTTTTAATTTAATAAATTGACTCTACTATGGAGACAGTATAATTTGGCTGCGGGACAACAACCACTAAAATTTCAGCATGTATATACGAATTCATCAAGCTTAGAAATCAGTGTACATACATATTGATAACCTTTCTTTTTGAGAGTCGGTTAAAATAGGCTATGTTTGGGTCTAACGTAACATCTGGCTAATGTTTGGGTGTGAAGTGATATCTGGTTAGTAAAGGCGTTCTTATTAATAATCTCTTGATGATGTAAATAAAAAAGTTTTTATTCTATACTCTAAAACTTAGCCTTAGTCAATAAACAAAGCAAATAAAATAAAATAGTTGTGTTAAAATGGCGTCGACGAATCGCGATTAGCTGATCACTCCGTATTAGTTTTAAATAGGCACCCATTGTTAATATAATGTTAACACTTAGAGAAGTAGGTATCTATATATAAACGTTTGAGTTTCAAACAGAGCGTTGCGATTAAACGTTTTAAACACAAATAGAAAATAAATATTTTTAAAAGAAAATTGTGATTTTTTCCCCCACAACTAGCAACATTTGTATTATGAGAGCTTAGGTAAGTATTTTTTTAGTTTTACGTACTTATAATGAATTAAATGTATAAACTTATATGTGAAATGTAATACCATCACTTTTTTTATGTTTATCATCACCGTTGTGACATTATTTTACAACACAAACGGTAATTTTTACAATTCTTCGCGAGCTCTTCTCCGTAAGACGTGACGTTGCGCACTGACGCGTCGCTGAGTCAACTAACGCGGTTTCGAGTTAGTTTTACTTGCTTCACTTTCGGTGCGCGTACTAGTATTCTATGCGTAATAATTCTATGAGGATACCAAATCTCATAACTCTGTAACCGATTTTGAATGACAGGTCGGCACAAGTCGGCAAGTAAGAAATAGTTCCTAGATATTTTGTAATTTTTAAGAGTGTAATACTGGTTATTTTTTGTAAGTAACTTTTTCCAAAATGGCTGCTTGTTCTGTGAGTGACTGTGGTGTTCATAATAGAAATAATCCTGATAATTACACATTTCACAGGTCGTCACAATTCTCAAGACGTTGTCAATGTTATGACGTGTTTATTTTTGGTTAAAATTTATGTCATATACTGTTTAAAATAAAGAATATTTTCAATTATTTAGTTAATTTTGGTATTTTGCAAACAAAAAAGTCACTTTGTTGATAATTTGCATGAATTTGGTTAATACATTTTTTTCACAAAATATTTTACATGTACGCTAGGGATTGATTTACTTATATCAAAATTAATGTCGATATATATCTTGAATGTTTATTTTGAATCGATAGACTTGCCCACACAACAAGAAAACAAATCCTCGGTTTGCGTTCTAAAATGTAATTTTATTTTGCCGTTTGTTAAACAGCTTCCCTTCGGATTCTATAATTAGAAAAAAATGGTTAAGGTTAATTAAACGGGTTGGTTAGAATCCAAAGACAAACTCAACAATTTGCAGCAAACATTTACTTGTGAAATATAAAAGAAAAATTATAATAAAAACAATTTTATTAAAAGGAGCCATTTTTACATTATTTGTACCAGTATAAGTATAATATTGTTAGAATAATAATACGTCAAAAATTTAACTTTCAAAACTGTAGATAAAAATAGAGACAGATTTTTATACATTATAAAACTGTAGTACATTAAAGATAAAAAATTATTGTTATGAACCCAACTACAAGTATCTATTTATCAACCAAAAAAATGTATAACCTTACTTCACCACCCGCACCTTACGGTCACACTAGTGCAATATTCATAGTGTAACGACGGCCAATTGGCCGCAGAGCGTGTCATGAGTCTTCCGCTCACCTCAAGGGAATGGCGTCCCAGGTTGCGCGGCTTTCGGCCGCAGCCTTGAGAGCCTCCTCAGATTCTCCCTCCAGCGACCACCCGCATGAGGTCGACACATATGCTCCACCAACCAATACAATCCATACTATCCATACTATATATTAATATTATAAATGCGAAAGTGTGTTTGTTTGTTTGTTTGTCCTTCTTTCACGTCGCAACAGAGCGTCGGCATGGCATGAATTTTGGTATGGGGATATTTCGGTGGCTGTAGAGTGACATAGGCTACTTTTTTCCGCGGAAAAACATCTCGTTCCCGTGGGAAAATCGAATATGTTGCAAAATTAAATTCAGCTAGGTGTCACCACCGTGATTCTATAAGACGGACGACGGTACGATGGACGAACACAGAAGGTCAGAATATCTGGATTATTATGTCTTTTTACCA